TTTTATATAATTTATTTGTTGTTTTCTTCCCATATTCTTCCACTCATTCAAAAGCGGAAGATATATATATATATATATATATATATATATATATATATATATATATATATATTCCCTTCAATCCAAATAAATATGTTTTTTTATATTGTATTTGTCGTTTACTTATATCTTTCATTATTTGGAAAGCTCGAGTAATTTAGAAGAAAACTACAAAGCACTGTCTAGATTTATTATTATTTGGTTACATATATAGTGGTTTTATTTATTTGACTGATTGTCTCTCGTGAACACTTTACCTTATCTGAGGACGTGAACATGTTATGTGCTGTTTCTTTTCACTACACAAGGTATTTTTCTTTCAGAGCTTAAAGTTGTCGCTGAACATTGAATTCTTCATATTTGCGTCAATCTAGAGAAAGAATTTGGATAAATGTTTGTGGGTCTACAACACATGCATCTCACAGCAAGAATGAACATTGAACCAGAACATTAGATTCTGTCAAGTTCTTCTCCCCAAGATACGTTACAAAATCCAATTCAATCCACCGATAACTATATTTTATACACTCTTTTTGTTCCTATATCATTTTCTTTCGGTTTGGCCATATCCTCTCTACTCTTTAATGCCATTATATGCATTTTTTTTTTACAAAATTTAACTCACTCAACAAACAAACTGTAAAAATAGAAGATGCACAAAACTGTTTTACATCATTGTTATTTTGGAGAAGTTTACATTACTTTTTCTGTGGGATCCAATAAGTATCTCTAAAATAATCCAATGCAACTACTATAGATATGTTTTGTTTAATGTACGTGACATTTTGTATATATATATATAAAAAGAGAGGCAATGGTTAGCACTCTACCCTTGAATTACAGACAACTTGGCCTCCCATGGAGTGAACCAATTAAAGTTTAGAAGATGAGAGGTGTTGGCGTCACGACAAGACAAGCAAATAACCAATTTTTTTTCTGATTATTTCTTCAAGCTCTCATGAGATTCTCCATACCTCCTTATTTCTAGCTACCAAAATACATGCATCACAGATTTTTTTTTTTTTTTTTTACCTGTTGTCAATTATTGGGTCATGTATATATATGATACATAATTTAAATGTGTTAGGACCATTATTTATTAAGCCAAATAATAAAGTAATCTGACTAAATTAATTAAAGTTTTGCCTAAATATATATGTCATGAAAATAAAATTGTGTAGAGACTATAGAGCAATTTCTAATTTGATGAGGGGTCAAATTAGAAATACTAAAATTTAAATAATTAACTTAATTCTGGTTATTTTAAAGGGTCATGGTCCCCTTCTGAGGGCACACATAAAACGTAAGTCTCAGTTCTTTTCTTTCTATCCCCTTCAAGAGATAAAATTCATAGAGAAAATAAAGGTGTTTTTCAAGAGGAAGACTAGAAGATCAATAATGCTCAAAAGGGATATCATCATTATGGCTAATTTAGGTACGTTTTCGCATTCAATTTACAACATGTTTAACAGTATGGGATCACGTACGTTTCATCGTTAAACATGTTGTAAACTGAATGCGAAAGCATACCTGAATTAATCATAATGATGATGTCCCTTTTAAGCACTATTGATCTTCTAGTCTTCCTCTTGAAGAACACCTTTATTTTTTCTCTGGATTTTCTCTCTTGATGGGGATAGAAAGAAAAGAGCTGAGACTTACGTTTTATGTGTGCTCTCAGAAGGGGACAATGACCCTTTAAAATAATCAAAATTAGGTTAATTACTTAAGTTTTAGTATTTCTAATTTGACCTCTCATCAAATTAGAAATTGTTCTATGGTCTTTACACAATTTTATTATCATGACATATGCCTTTAGCCAAAACTTTAATTTAGTCAGATCACTTTATTATTTGACTTAATAAATAATTGTCCTAACATATTTAAATTATGTATTATATATATATATATATATATATATATATATATATATATATATATATATATATATATATATATATATATATATATATATATATATATATATATATATATATATATATATATATATATATATATATATATATATATATATATATATATACATGACCCAATAATTATCAACATGACCATTTTACATACACAAGTTTAGTTGAATTGACAGTATCGATAATATATTGAGATTAAGTCTTTTTTTCTATATATAAACGCTCTATTTTATCCACCCACAAAAAAAAAGAATTACTTTCTCAACGAAGTGTAAATATATATAAAAGTTTGATGTAAAAATAGAAGAAAAATCTATCAAGCATCTAGAATGCAAAACTTTAAGCATATATATATATATATATATATATATATATATATATATATATATATATATATATATATATATATATATATATATATATATATATATATACTCTAATTGAAGCTATGATATGCAATAACAACATTTGCAACTCAAATGCTTGTTGCAAACTCCCTTGAACAAAAAGAAGGAATCAATATTACAAAGACAATATTCGATACAAGCTAAAAAGACATGCATGCCACAGAGAAATTGAGGGTCATATATTCTACTAGCTTTTATAGAAACATTAGATCCAAAGCTTAGAGATGTATATTACTTATTTCACAATTTGCTACTCTAATTTCACAACATGATAAGCCAGTGTTCTCATACATTGACCTTTAGGTTCACAAATAAATAGTTTGGTCTACTGACCCTGCAGACAAATTGCTATATAGAAAATATCGTGAGCTAGTCGCTAAAAATATTAGAAAAATTTCAAGTCATTATTATTATTATGCAGGAAAAAGTATTTTTGGTATTAAATTAAAATATAAATTAAGCATTTCCACTTGAGAAACCTAAATAAGAAGCTTATACAACCTCAACCGCAACAAAGTTGTAAACTGAATTAAAAAAAATATCTTATAAAGTGATTTGTTATGCCAAGTTCAGATCTTTTTTATTATTCAATGCTGAAAATAGGGAGCTTAACCAGTGACACTGAAGTGGAGATCATGTCAACAATGTTTGGATCTGTACTGACAAGTGCAATTATTGACTTACTCAACTTGATATCTCATAATGAAAATTTATTATTTAAACCAATCTAATTGTAGATTTTGTGCCTAGTTAATGCGTTTCTTACACACTAATTTTCAGGGGACTTATATAAGAAGTACATGGTCCCCTTAAGTACATAAAAATTTCATTAATAATGTAAAAACAATTATTTTTAGTGATACACCATGACTAAATCGTCTTAATGATGTAATGTAAGACAAAATTTGAAAAAAAAGAAAGAAAGAATATATATATAATGATTTATGTCAAGTCTTTACCAAAACTTGAGGCTAAATTACGAAGCCTGTATAGTTGCACTTGGATCCAAATTGATACGAAAAATATAGAAAAAGAAGACAGAAGTGAAAAATTACTTTTTTTTAAGTTAAAGTTAATTTATATAAAATATTTCATATTAGTTTATGTATATTTTTTTAGTTTGTACATATAAGTCAATTTAAATATAATTTTGTATGAATTTTATTTTATTAATTAAAAATGTTTTTAAGAGAAGTTTCTGTAAATACTTCAAATCTTAAATCACATAGCACTAATGCAAACCCACCAATACTCAATAATTGAACAACGTTATTTATTTTTAATTTTTGTTAAAAGAATCCAATATGTCTGAGTATGCCTAACTGGCCAAGAGTACCGAAATTCCAAGTTACCTTACCCTAGTGGCTTATACCTGTTGCAAAGTGGAAATAATTCTCATATATGTATAATAAAGTGACCAAAAGCCAAAAAATTAAAGACACAATTTGATAATTATCTTATTATAAGATGGAAGGAACCACGTGTTCTCTTGTATGGTAAAATAGTGAAATCAAGAATGAAATAGTGACGTGGAGAGGCACGTAAGATGAAAGGGGTTGACGAAGCAGATGGTGATCTCGTGTGAGATGATGAGGTGGGAGGAGGTGATGATCGTGGCTGATAGGAAACGCAACCACCGCAATCCTGTCAGATAATCACGTGGAATTCTCATGCATCTTCTCCTCTTTCCCCGTGCTCTTCCTTCTCTACCATTTTCTTTTCTTTTCTTTTCTTTTCTTCCTACTTGTAATGCTACGTTGCTAATGCTAATGCTTATGCAACCCTCACACACCCCTCTATGCACTTTACTTCCCCTGCCTATCATCTACGAAAAATTTCATCTTTTAAAACTATTTAATATTTTCGATACAGAAACATCATTCATACACCATCACCTAACTTGTTTTGCACTAACACGTCTAAACCTTACAGCTTGCATCATCCTCTTTTACACCGTGTCCACCCTTTGTCGTCTTCAACTTTTCTAAGCCTCGGAACCCTCCCATTATGGCCGTACAGGTGTTTCAAACACCACCACCATCATTTCTCCCTGCAGTCATCTTCCATCTTGCTCCCTCTCCCCCAAGCTAATTAAAATATAACACGTGGAATTTAACTTGTCTCTCATTAATTTATCTTTCAAATCTTAAACATATATCAATCCAAAATATATATCAAATGTCCCTCACTCTGTCTTAAGTTGTTTTTTTCCTTTTCTGTCTACCAAGCCTCTCATTTAACTTGCTCTCATATTCCCATTAGGGAAACTTTCCGAATTAACTCAAATATAAGATATGAAACATCCAGGAAATATAAGATTTATTGCCTGCCAATTGAACCGCAAAAGTACACTTTACTTAGATGAAAGGGGATATATGAGAACTGCATTTCGAGAACAATTGAAATATTTTCCCATAACTTTTTTTTCTTATTATCGATAGCAATTTAACACAACTGGATTTAAGAAGCACGGTTGAGATGAGCCCGGGCAAGTTAATGAGATACAGTGCATACATATAATTTGCACCAATTTGTATATAAATCAGAGAGGCTAAACCTTAATCATATATAAGAGTATTTTTTTTTTAATTGACTAACTAGCTAGTTGTACACTCTAAACGAATCCTTAATCATATCTATTAGGCAGAGGAAGATAAGGTGTGGAATTGGAACTGGAAGTGGAAGCAGTCCTACTAGGACCAGACATAGCAACTGGGAACCCTATCCCTGGTGCGCTAACACCGACAAGTGGCCTAATATTGTTAGCGGAAGCGCGTTCCAGTGACTGAACCTGCGTTTTGAGAAACTTGACGTAGTGAATGGCCTCATCCAACATGGACGCAGTGTCCATCTTGGTCCCTCCAGGGACCAGTCTCTGCAGTATCCTTATCCTCTCGCTGATCCTCTCTCTGCGGTGGCGCGCCGCCACGCTCTGAGGGTCCTTCGAAATCTTCACGTTCCTCCGCTTCGGCGGCTTCACCGACTCCGGGTCTATGTGTATCGGCTGCATCGCCGCCATCCTGAATATCATCTCCCTCATCGCCGCCATGGAGTTCCGCTTCTCACCGTAAGGGTTTACATTTGCAGTTGCAGTTGCAGTTGCACCCTCGGTTGGGGTTTGTTGAAGCATTATTGGGGTAGGGTTGTTGTTGTTATTCGAGAAAGAGATTGTAGTGGTGGATGTGGATGACGGTAATAAGTGCGCGAATGAGTAAGAGGACCAAGGTATGGGGCTAGGAGGGCTATTATCAAGTAAATCTGCTAATGGCATAGTGCTACCACTGCGTATATTGTTGTCGTTACCGTAGAACTCCTCTGGGGGGTGAAATCCTTCCATGGTGTTAGTTTCACTGTAGGGTTCAGAGAATTGAGGGAGGTGCTGCATCATGACGGTCATGATATCCATCTGCTGCTGCTCCTCCTCCTCCGGCTTTAACTGTTCCGTAGTGTCCATTTATGGGCTGTTTTTGCTGAGGGAAAAAGGGGGAGGTGGGAGGAGTAAAGTGAAAATGGTGAGAGCGAGGGGGGGGAGGAAAAAGGATAGACAAGTATTTAAAGGGTAACTGAAAAAACTGAGAAAATCAGCAGAAGGGTACAGAGGGATGGGGAAGAAAAAGAAGAATATATATATTTAGCAGTGGGATTGGGAGTTGAGTTTCTATCAGAATGTGAAGTGTGAGAAGGGTTTGTTAGAGTGGTGAGAAAGGAGGGACAATGGTGGAAAAAAAAAACAATAAAATAGTGATATTGGGAACAGACCACAGCAAAGGATCAACACCTGGAAGCGGTGACTCTATGTTTATGCCTCTCAAATATATAAAGGTTCAGAAATAGCATGTTCTATTGCTGTTATAAACTATTACTGAAGATACTCCACGCTATGTGGTCAAGTAATTACAAAAATGTGTTCTGAATTTTACTAACACAACACAGATTATTATTTACTTTTCACTGAAATAGATGCATAGAATACTAGCAACACAACATGAACACACTTTTCATTGTAATACAGTGAAATTTATTAACACTCATTAAAAAATATAAATCTCACTTATTATTTTAATAGGTTTCACTAGTGATTTTATAGCTTTTACTAATTTTTAATAAATAATACAAATATATGAAAATGAGTATGTTAAAAAGGGCAAATTCTTTATATTTGTAAATTTTATTAATATGCTCGAACAATTAATTTACCTTTGGCCGAACAAACAAGTAAGTTAAATAATCAAGAAATAGGCGATTTCAACATATAATTAACACAAACACTCAAACTCTCTATCATTAAGCCAGTCTTATTATTTGATTAAATATAATTAATATTTTTAAAATATACAAGCATTTTATATTTTGTTGTTTAATGGATAAGAGAACTAGTAAAAAAATGTTGGATGATGTATAAGTTTTCTTTTTCCTTCGTTATTGCTTTTAAATTTGAGCTATAAATTATTGTAGTAAATAATTTATTTCCTTTTTTTAAATTTAAACTATAGATACATTAAATATTAAATGCATGTATTTTCTTATATTTTACTATGTACTACAGTATTAGACTCAGCTCTATCTATTGCCTCTCCCAAAAATACATACCATGGTTTGTAAAAAAAAAAGAAAAAAAAAATCTATAAGAATTTAAAACTTTCTTTAAGGATATTGTAATAATGATAGATACCACACTAGGCATGATATCTATGCCTGGTTAGCGAATATTTATTAGGATTTAATTTATTCAGTTAAAATGAATAAATTATTTTAAATAATGATTTTGCATTAATATTTATATTAAGTAGTTAAAGAAAATATGAATTATTCCATATGTTTTGAAAACATTAAATAGTTTCCATTTCTATTTTATATTACTGTATAAACATTAAAAGAATAGTAAAAAAGTATAAGATAATTAAAAAACTCATTTTAGTAATACCTTGCTGTGTGACGTTTAGATAGATTAGAGATTTATAGTGGAATAATTTACAAAAATGATTTAAAATGAAAAATTAATATGAATTTGAATTATTTTAAGATATTATTTTATTTTTGTTCCAATAATTGAGATTTGAACAATGAATTGTCCCCTTATTCTTAGATTCTTGGTCTATATATTTTTGTGATTATGTTAGATTCATAATTTTTAGGTTAATAGTGGACTATTACTCCAATATTTAGAAAGTGAGTGTAAACTTCTTTATATCATTAACACCATCAAAATATTTTGGAATTTAAATTTTATTGTAATGACTTTTAAAAAATATTAAGCATATGTATCTCGGGCATATTCAAAATAAGGTGAAGGTGGGATTTTGTTGTATAATTTTTTAACCCTAAATTTATGGTTTTGGGAGATATTAAACCGCGCCAAAAGTGAGTGACGAAATTATGAATGGAAGGATTATAGAAGTGAAGGATGAAGGAAAGAGAATAATGCAGGGGAAGTCACGTCATCTACGTGCCATTGAATTTGAAGGCCATGTATCGCTGATAGATAAGTGTCCAAAATAATTATTGTCATATTTTGTTGGCGTCCATACATTAAATGTTGTTGGACTCAGCTACTCTACTACTTTTGACTAATTTAAGTAACCTTATTCATTGTACCTTACATATGTTTACCAAAATTAATTCTTAATTTAGTAATATTAGCACTATAAAATTATATAACAATATAATGTTCCCAACCAATAATATCACATAGGTCAGAAGCCCCCATCGTTAAGGACATATACAACTACTTACTAGAAATAAAAGCATTTTTTAAAATATTTGTAATGCGATAAAATCTAATTTGATTTCTTAATTTTATATAAAAATTTGTTCGATTTATGCTTATTTATTTATTTATTTATTCTTTAACTCTCTTTTAATAACGCATGCTAATTTTAGTTCAAAACAAAAAACTCAACTTGAGTTCTTAAATTTTTTTAATTACTCATATAATAAACTCTACATGTTTATATTTTTATTTAACTTATTCTATTACATTCTGAAAATTAATTTTACGCGTCTTCAACAGCACCACAAAGTTATCTTCGAATTAGGAGTATAAGTGAGTTATTATTCTCGATTCAATTCGCAAACTCGTGCGATAGTGAAATCATATTCTGAGTATTTTAATGTAAATGCAATCATATTGGATGAAACAAATTCAATATAAATATTATTAAATATTAATTTTATTTTACTTAGTCGTAAATTATTTGCAATTAAAGATTTTTACACAAAAATTAAGAATAATAATTAATAGATGTATTTCTTTAATATAATGTAACCAAAATAGGAGCATTTTCAACAAATATATTATATTACTCCATTCATTCTCTTAATAAAGACAAGATACACTCAAATTTATTAAGATTGAAACCATTTATGTAAAATAAACTAGAAAAAATATATATAACTAATAGTAAATTATAAATTGAGAACATCAACTATTTTCTTAACAAATTTCAAAAACTAAAACGACAAATAATTTGAGATGGATAAATTATTTGTTTTTCAAACCTTTTACGTACCTAATAAAATCAAATTATGAGAGTTCCTACTTTATTCGATTTCACTTCTACTTAACAGTAAATGAACATAGGTAAATTAATTAACATTTTAGTAAACACTAAGGGTATACTAATATAAAAATATTTAATATGTTTTCAACATTGAAAATCACATATAAGTAAAATAAAAATATTATAGCAAATAGATAATTAAAATGAAGCATACGAAGTATATAGCAAAAATATTAATTGTCTAATAATTAAATTGTAGAAATATATTTAAGTTTTATTTTATGAATATTTTTATGGATATTGGTGATGCATATTTTATACTTTAACGTACTGTTAGGGGTAACCTGGAAATCCATTCACTTAGTTGTAAACCAATTATATAATTAATATATATTTATTTTCACTAATTTTATCGTTATTTTATGCATATTTCTAAGCATATATTGTCGTCTCCTAATAACTAAAATAATATTTATTTAATTACTTGATTGTTATACCAATGCAATCCAACTCAATGATAAATTGATTTAAATTCATAAAGAAAGTAAATTGAATTTAACCCAACTCTAATTAAATCTAATTAAGTTAAGTTAAATTTAAATTTTGACACAATCAACACAATTAATTGCACCCTATCTCAATCTCTTCAACGTTCCCTCCATGTCGTCGCATGTTTGCCTCTATCGTCTCTCCTTCTATCTTTCCCATGTGCTTCTGTTGTTGTGTTTTTCTAGTTTTTAGGGTATTCGCTAGTGTTTTTTTTTTTAATAGTTTTGTGAGTGTTGATTTTGGGGTTCTAGTTTTGCCCTCTTCAAATCGTATAAAAAAAATACCATTCATGTTCTCAACACTGTGAATTCAAGTTTAACTAATTGCTTAATTTAAGAGTTCATATATACAGAGTAATTACATTAGGAATTCTATAAGGAGAAAATTGCTTCAGGTAAGAAAATATTGTGTAGTTCATAAAATAAAAAACTATTAAAGATGAGGATAATTTAAAATAAGAATCCCACCTAAGAAAAATAAGAACTTTGAATGACAATTCTTGAGTCATAATAATAATAATAATAATAATAATAATAATAATAATAATAATAATAATAATAATAATAATAACAATAAGTTAAGGTGGAAATTAAAATTTAATAATACATTATTTTATAAATTTCCATCATTATTATTATCACTAATATAGTATTGTTACCATTTTACTATGATATTGTTGTTATCTACACCAACAGTAATCGTGTATTTGACTCATTTAAAAGTATTTGTTTACAATTTTTTATATCTGTAATTCAAATACCACTGTTTGAAAGAGGATGAATCAAATTATTTTAAAAAGGAATGTGACGAGAGCTACTCATTAATAGCTATAAAAAGCAATTTATCTATTATAATTGTGGTAAATAATAAAACTAAAACAAAAAATAATTATTGTAAAATTATTTTTTGTATAACTTGATATATTTATACATTAAAAATTCTCATGTTCTTCTTGTAAAAGACTTCTTATTTAAAACAGCCACGCTACTAAAGAGTTTATCTTAAAAGTAAAAAAAAAAAAAAAATGTTACCTTACATGTATGGATAAACCCACTGTATATTACCTTACATCTTAACTCTTCAATTATAGGAAATAAAAGATGCTTTAAATGACTTTCTCTGATGCATGAATCATTTTTCTGTTGGAATTATTTTAGGTTAGAATACATTGAGTGGAAGCATGAAAGTGCTAGCTTTGCCCTAAAATTACTTTCTTTTCAAGAACCCTGAAGCCCCACGCACGTGCCAGGCTCAGAAATGTTACTAGACTTTTAAATGCCTAGGATGGAAAACTTCCCAGTTTCAGTTGGGGGTCGCTTTTCTACCGTTAGATGCAAAGGAGCTGAACACGTGGCTGTCACCGGTGAAAAATGCCGGTGCAGTGTTCATTTCATGCTAATGATTAAGTGTAATCTATTATCCCTCATGTGCCGCATCTACAGGTTAAATGATCCGAGGCTTTCTCAATTGAAACGGTGCGCTTTTCGAGATGGATCAGGCTCTGATGCAACCTGCTTCATGTGCCGGATTTGTTAACGAACTTACTTACCATGCAGCTACAGTAATCCCCTTTTCCTTTTCATACTGTCCGATTGAAAATTAAAAACTGTGGTGAATCAGAATGTGGTTCCAAGTTTTTAAAAGACCAAGATGAATTCCGGAGATTCAACTAGTCTAGGGAAATTTGCATAAAATGACGTGACAAGTGTAAATTTTAAAGAATGATGCATGAATTGACCGTGTGTTTTGTTGCTTGCGTGTGTGGATTTTGGGATATTTATCGACCATTATTTGTGTGTGGACCTGCGCGGCATATAATAGTGTGATGTAGACATTGTTGATAAGGGGACAAGTTATTGAAATCAAATTGGAAGGGACTCGAATCAAATATGTGGTTTTTCCAATGCTAAGATAGGTACTTTTGTTGCTAATTTTATAACAAACACTTCTTTTGTTCCAAAAATTCTCCTCGACAAAAGAAAGTAAATCATGAGTGTTGGGTTAGAGAAATAATAGGCTCTAGGCCAATGACAAGGTTATTACAAAGTTTTGAAAGAAACTCGTGTTTACTAGACTGAGCATTCATTTCACATGTTCCAAGGAGATATTTTATGGATTCACATCAAATGGACCTTCAATTTTACAAGCACAATCTAAATTGTGAAAATGAATCAAATTATGATTTTAAGATGATGAATCAAGTGAATTTTTGTTGTTATTTATAAACAATTAAAAAATAATAGTAAAGATGAAAGATAAATACACACGACTCATTTAAGAGGTCACATGATTATCAACTAATTTCTAATCTTAAAATCTATATATATTATATTTATATGAATCAAATTTATAATATAGAATTTTAGTTTTTAAATAAATTGTATAAAAAAATGAAAATAAAAGAAGAGATGAGTGTATATAATAAGATTGGGGAGACAATTGTCTGCAAGAATAGGTTGGACAGGATAAAATGAATCGGAAAGGAACAGATTTTGATTTTGGTGTGTGCTATTTTTATTTCTCTATTGCATCATCACCTTATCCTCTTTCCCACGCATCCAATTCTTTTGTCATTATTATTACCATCACATTCAAATAAACAAAACATTGTTGTGAGTGACTTGTCAAAATTGATTTCTCCATGACATATATAGTTTAATTATATATATATATATATATATATATATATATATATATTTAAATTTCCTTTAATAAATAAGAAAATTGGAAAATAACCTTTATTATAACCAATTTGTAATGGTCCCAGCCAGGTCTTTGTCTCTCTGAAACAGTGTGCCTGCTGCAACAGCATGAGCATGCGCGTTTGTGGAGGCATGATTTTCATCGCTCGCAACTTGAATGATTTTGTGGTTCCCCAATTAAGCAAATCTTGATCTCCAAGAATTCGATGCAACATCCTGAAAGCTCGTTTTTGATGGTGCATTTGAAAAATGAATTTTTTTTTTTTTTTTAAGAAAAAGTGTGCATTTGAATTGAATTCAATGCGATGGAATGGACTATGGAGTTTGGTGTAGAGAGTGTAATAGTAGGCTTGGTGCATGTCATAATGTCATGCTGATCTCAGGAGTTGGTTGTTGCCAGGAATACCCCATTTCTTAATTTAGCATCTTTCTTCTTTTAGCTGCAACTAGCTCAATAAATTCCTTTGCCATTTGTGCCCACAATTTTAAACAACCAGAATCCACAGTTATGTGAATTAATTATCGTTTTGCAAGAGCACAAAAGAGGCAAGGAGTGGTCCACCTCATGCCTCATTCCGATCAACCTGCTTTCCCTTTAATTTCATTGTCTTTTTTCATCTTACCGATTTCAAATTACCAAACGTCACCAGTTCAGGTAAATGTGTCAATTCGACCTAAACTATTTCATTTTTCAAGAGTCATAATCTCATTGGATGCACCCTTCATGCTCAATTTACCTTCTACCATCTCTCCATAGTGGTGCGTGTGGTCTTCTTCACACTATTTTGGTGATTTAGTTTTTGGTTTTGTAAGTTAACTTTGTTTTGAGTTGTGCTTGGATTTTTTTTACTTCTCACCTTTAAATACACTCTAATAGAGAATAAGAAATACCAAACATCACAAGGGACGATGACTCATGACCAAAATCAATCTTCCAAATATCTTCTAGAATATATTGGTATCTTCCAATCTTGATTCTTGCATTATTTTTATTTTTTTTTTGCCTTTATCTTTATATTCTTTATTCTCTCTTCGTAACTTAAGCAAATAATTTTCTCAAGAATTTCTAATTAAATTGTTATTAATTTGTATTTTGACGACAACCGTGGAATCTCTTATATCACCACTATAATCATCGTCACAAATTCTACAATTGCGTCACATTTTCTTTTACCTTGGATAAAGTTTTGGTTTTGGTTTTACCTGCTCTCACTTACGAAGCTTGTTGCCGTAGCTTTACAGTAACAATTGTCACTTTCTGGGCTTTGATCACTTTCTTATTCTAAAACATACATTCATTATTTTGCACCCAATTCACAAAATCATTTGATTGGAGTTTACCTGTAAAACTTATAATATCTGCTCTTACATCATTGCTCCAAAATTCGAGTTCCAAAATTACTAATGAATATATGAGAAATTGTTACACGAATCATATTTTTTTAAGAAAAGATTCACGGATAATTTAGAAAAAAAACATCTAGCAATTTCATTTATTAATATATAATAATAATTTTTTATTTGCGCCATATTAATTTCTTGAATAAGTCTTTGTTTTGGGCGCATTTTGAAAATAGTAAGGTCAAAATAAGAATTTGAAAAAGTCAAGTATATTTAGGTTAGTAATGAAAATGTGAGCGTAGGTGTATTTTAAAAAAAAATTGTGAAAAAAGTGGCCATTAAGAGAATATTTAGAGGTCAAGATTTATAAAAGCTTTTTAAGCGTCAAAATAAAATATAGAAAATCAAAGCACTTAGAATAAAATTATGAGTAAATTATATTGACAACGTGTCTAATTGATAGCATCACCCTTATCTAAGCTAATATTTCATCAACTTTATTGTCATAATTTATAATTAAAAACATTTAATTTTATTGATAGAAATTTGGTGTAAGTTTATTTTTAACATCTTAGTGATAAATTTTAGAGGTGTACGTGTGTTGCATCCAACCAGCATACCCACACTATTCAATTCAGTCCAATTATATTTTATGGGTTAAAATATTGTATTAAGTTTTATTTATTGCACGAACTAAAATGGGTTTGGCTAATGAACATGAATTATTCATCTTTATACGTGTAATATTTATGCATATATTATATGTATTATCATCACCTTATAATTAAAAATATTTTTCTGAGATATTTTTCTTAATAAATAATTATTTTATTAAAATTACTGAACAATGATCTAATGTAATCCCATTATAATTGGATTGGGTTGAATGGCTGAATGAAAGGAAACAAGATAAATCTAGCAAAATCCGAAATTAGATTAAAAATTAAATTGAAATTCCCAACACAGCCCCTATTATATTACATTCCTAGAAAAATTTAACTAAAACTTAAATTATATATGTTGTGAAAGAGACACTAGAATATATGATAATTTATATGAATAGATACTCAAGTAGTTTAAAAAGATTAATATGATACTAATTATTATCGAAATTAAATATTTATTAAATTTTGGATTAATTTTGAGACCATAGATTATTTTTTTATCCACAGTTGATAATGTGCTTACTAGGAGGGACAATGTTAAAAAATGTAAACTCCTAGAACCACCTAATCCTACATATTAATGGACTAATCTACCCTTCTTATGACACGAATGACTTAACTATATTATTAAGCACTTTGATTAGAATTGTTTTGAAACTTTCACCAAAATGGATAAACAATTCTCTAACACTCAATTAAACTCTTTCTTTCTTGCATATACAAATTGAAAGAACTCAATGTCTTGCACACAATTACTTCTCTTTGTTGGTTGATGATCACAATCCCAAGGAAAATTTTGAAGCATTATAATTTATAAAGCTTGATAATGTCTCTAAAATTCTCCCCCCTTTTAGAGTTATCATATTATGATATATGTTAGGGGTTTATAGCTAACATTTATCCACGTTGTTGCCAAATAAATAAAATGTTTTGAGTATTCTTTAAAGTTTGGAACTTTTTGTAACGATGAATTAGAGGGACGAGTATAATGATGTACAAAAAAATTCATATTTTTTACTTTTGACTGGGAGAGAGATCTAGTTGATGGGTATTGTTGAGTGGAAGTGTGAGGCCCAATGTTGAAGGATAATTTCTGCAACACATGAATTGGGCTTGATGGCCCATGTAAATAGTGTTAGTATTTTTTTTATTTTTATTGAATGTAAATAATATAATTATATTACGTGACCAAGATTTTGGTACTTTAGGGAGTCATAAAGTCAGAAAGCAAAGCATGAGGTCCCACCGCCACCACAACGCAATAAAGCTATGCGCAACTCAACGCGTGTATAGTATTTTATAAACCCACACTTTTCTCTCTTTTATTATAACTTACCACGGTATAGTTTAGTTATTACGTACTCTAACACTACGATCTTGATTTTATAATATTTTTGTGGTGGCCGTTAACTATAAAAATAATATTAACTTTAGTATTTTTTTTTAAATTTAAGATAAAAAAAAATTAAAAAATAAACAAGTTTCCCGAAGGTAAAATCAAGGTAAATATATAATTTAGGATTTAAAACATTTTATATATGAAATTTCAAGGCTTTATTATTAACATTATAAAAACTCATAATACTTCAGAAAACTTAGCATAGCATTTTGCATTTTAAAGATTGGACTGAAGCTTTACTCGGATAAATAGTTTTTACCTTGTTTTCGTTTATCTTATAATACAACGAATGCAAGATTTATAGAGATCAAATTAAAGCATTTATATTTGCAAATAAAATTACTTAAATTATTAGTCACTCACATAAAATAATCAATAATTGAAATTATATGTATATGGATAAAAAATTATGATTTTTTTTATAAATTGCTTGCTTTATCCTCTGGAATGGGTTAATAATTTTACAAAACTCAAATCCTGCACATAAATACACTTTTTTTTTTCTGATGATTGTCCACACATTAATCAATAACATGATGAAATTATAGGTATATTAAACTAACTGAAACTGCCATTATAAAATTGAAGACTCGAATAAAACTTCTCTCAAAAAAGTAGTATTTTGTTTGTAACATTTTGAAAACTTTAATGAAAATGTTATTCAAATAAATACACATTCAACTAAAATAATGATTCCATAAAGAAAAAAACTAAAACAATGATATTACTCATTCTATTATTCTTTCTAACTCATGATTTTTTTTATCTTTATATAATATTAATTACTTTTTTAAGTATTTATACACTTTTTTTTACTTAATTTTGCATTAGAGTATACATATATCCATTTATTATAGTATAAAAATAAAATAAAAACTTATAAACATTTTTTTGAAGATTAAAAAATTATTACATTTCATAATATTTCCAAAAAAAACTAATTATGGAGTTTGTTATAGAAAGAAAATTGAAAAGAATTTTCAAGACCCAGAACATTAATTAAGTTAAGTTGAATTATTATTAAATATAGGAAACATATTTTATAAAACACAAGATGGTTAATTTCAAATCCCTTTCCCATAACAGAGCTTCTACATTGAGACTATTGGTTAATATTCTAAAGGAGTTTATTAATTATAATAATAATAAAATAATAATTAATAATTATTATTATTATAAAAATTTAAAAATACTTTTTATGCAATGAATATTATTTAAAATCTATGATATATATATATATATATATATATATATATATATAATTTGATTGGATCAAAGATATATTGATTTATTATTTCATGGACAAGTAGTGCCAAATATGAAAAATTAGAATCAGTAAGATTAATAAATCTATACTTCTTGAATTGAAATACAATATATAATATTATTATATGTAAAAATATACAAAAAATAAACAGACATCTAAACTATTATAGTAATGTAATTGAATGAAATTTTTTTTAGTAAATTAGAATAGCAAATGAGAGGGAAATAGAGAATCATGGTGTGGTCAGAAGAAGAGAGATTGAATTACACATAGTTAAATCAATGATCACACTTTCTCTTCTACTCAAAGAAAAATAATCAAGATAGTAGAAAAAAAAAAAAAAGCACATATGACGTGAAAGAAGGAAAGATAGAATAATAACGAAGGAGAAACTGAAGAGAATCAAGAATCACTGAATGACATAAAAGACGAGTCAATGAGTTTTTTACACGACAAAACAAATCCTTCACGAGAGAAACTCTATCCCAAAATTTTAGAAATGATAAACGAAGATTCAAAATCTTTATCAAGTTTATATTAAGGAGTAAACAAAAGTAGAAAGAATCACGTAGAAGAAAATGATAGAAATTTAATTTTACTTATTGTTTAATCACCCTTAAATTGAGGTTCATAATTATCCCATAAATCTATTGATGCTAAATATTGATTTTGTTCATATCAAGACTTTGATAATTTTATCATTAGGTGCAGTTAGGTCAGCTGAAGCCTAAAAAAAGACTTTGGAGTAGCTTCGAATGAATTAGATTAACTGACATTTATAAATTTGAAGATTTGAATGAGTGTTGACTCACATGGATACACACATGAGTAGCTTATTTTATCATCTTTCATGTTCGTCCTTTGCGCAGTTATTCAGTCCTTTGTGCAGTTATTTTAGTGAATTAAGTAAGAAGTGCATAAATATCCAAATATGATGAACATTCCTTTTGTCAATTTTATTTTTTTAATTTTTCCTCTTTATCGCATAACGTATATTTCATTTTTCTTATCTCCATGTGGATAAAAGAATAGTTTTCTTCGAAAATATTACTCATCAAGCAGCGAAATGAACAAGAAGAAAGAAAATGAATTGATATGTTAGTTGAAGTATTTGTTAAAAAGACAAACTTTAGAAGAAGTTTATTTGTTTTTTCTTTTATAAGCAGGAATGTTGGTGTTGGGTTTTGGTTACTTTTGGGGGTGTAATTGAAAGATGCTTTAGCGAGTAGTTCGATGCTGGTGTGTAAGATTTAGCAACAGCTCCATCCAATCTCAAATGCGTTTAAAAGTGTTAAACCGAAAGCTTCTTTTGGCAGCATGATCTGTATCCACTTTTGAAACCCATCACTCACTTTATCTTCTTCGAACTCCAACTCCATCTCACTACTCATCTCCACATCCACTCTCTACTCGCCCCAGACATTCGGACCTGAACCTTATCTGACATTCCACCCTTCCCTGCTTCTACACGTGCACAAACCTATCACGTGCCACTTTCACCTTAAACTAACCAAAAAATCAATATCATTAATCATTACTTAATACACACACAAATATACTTGTCTAAAAACTAGGGTTTTTAACTTCTTTTTAGTCTTTTGTTATTTTTACACTTTTTAACCCTCACTAGCCCAAATTATCCCACCTTTCTACTCCTAGCTTTAACCACCTTTGTTTGTCTAAAGACCCAAATATAGACATTGCTTATTATGCTTTCTCTGATGCTTTTCAGAGTTTCTATGTTTCAGATTTTAATACTCCTAAGTCCCCCAGAGTGTGTGTATATATATATATGGTTATGATTATGAATACATCAAATATAATACAATAAAATAAATTATAAAACACTAGCTAGACAAAACTCTATGGGACACTTTACCCGTATAGGGATGTAGGAGTAGGGCAAAGCGACAAGAAAAGAAGACTCATCTCAAAGGAGCAAGAGTCATGAACTTCCGGGCAAAGGCACATACATGATACATTGTTCCAATGCTCGTCTTCTTGTCTATGTTAAAAACAAATTATATGGAGAAAAGTTGTGGGAAAATAAAAGAGACCCGATTGAGAGAGAGAGTGAAGGAGAGAATGGAATCGTAAGAGTGCTGAAGAAACGTTAATCAGATGACTACTCGAAGTGGGGAAAGACAAAGGTTTCTGGTCCTCAGAAGCATAGAAGAAGCCTTGATAGAAACATTTCAAACAACATTTTCAGTCAAGCTTCCCTTACATTTCGCTTTCATCGAATAATTCACTTCCTTGTTCTTTTCTTGTAAACCTTCCAACACCATTTTGAATATTTTATTCCCGTGATCTCTCTCTCTCTCTCTCTCTCTCTCTCTCTCTCTACAGTTCTCCATACGTTCTTGTGGAGGGGAAAGGAAAGGATAGGGACTTTCCTTTTCTGCCACTGACAATCTATTGTATCTCACATCTTATTTTTCTTATCTCTCATTGTTATGAAACTTATCAGGAGAAATTTACGTACAAGTAATTTACTCTTTGACAAATACGTGAGGTAGGACTATAGATTAACATCGCTCTAAGAAACACTATGATAAGCTTCTTTTTTCTATAAAATCATAGTACTATACACAATCTCGACCCAAACAAAAATGATTAGTCAATCTTGATCACTATTATTTAATTAAAATGACTAACCACATATCGTACATCTAATAATGGGAATATTTTTTGAACGAATCAGTGATTTACTGTCAGCTCCTTTATAGTATGGATCTTTTGTAATATCACTCGTCTTTTCATCGGGTTTTGAATTGAGATGCAATGTATTTTGTGTTCTTTGCTTCGTACATGGACACCATTAATGAGGCTAGCTTCCTCAAGAAAGCCTTGCAAATTTGTCTTTAAGCCAGCCTGTTACATTCTCAGTTCTCAGCTTTTTACCCAATAAAAACTGTAAGCAACTCTTTTCATTAACACTCTTTCTCCCTCTCTCTCTCTCTCTCTTGTGCTGGCATTAGCATTAATGCAACTGGAGGCATGCAGATACCAAAATAAGCGAAAGAGACGATGAACAGGACGAAAAAAAGAATGATCCTACACAATCCAGGACAATAAAGTGTACCAATGAAAATGAGAAAAACTCGACCAGAAAGAGGAGTAGAACAACATTTAAAGTTTGCTTTAATTTCTGATCTTTTACTCTAACTAAAACCCACCTACATCAATAGATGATGGGTCGGGAACAAAGATAATAATATTGGCACTAAGTTATATGTACACAGAATCACAAAACAGTCACACAAACGAACCCACGCACGCACGCGCACACACACACGTTTCCATCAATATCATCTGCCTCCTCTAAGACTCAAAACTTGAGAGTAGTGATTTAAAAATTAAAAATTAAAAAGAAAAATAAAAAGAAAACAAATCAAAGCAAGTAAAATAAATTCAAGGAGCTAGCTAGCTTGGAATATCATACTTAGAATTAATCAGTGGAACTAACAAGTGGATGGAGGCATGAGATTCAAACCCAAGTCATCCTTTTCCAAAACCAAACGAGCCTTGTTGGTCTCCGGATTAGATCCATAATCCGGGTGCACCCTTTTCTTTGACTGCAGCGACACCCCAAAAAGTTTGGTCTTGCAGCTATTAATGTTACCGTTAGATCCTTCAACAATCGTTATAGAACTCCTTGATGTGTTGGTGGGGGAGTTCACAGCATAGGTCTGAGGTTGGTGTTGCTGATGTTGATTTATTGGAGTAGTTCCTTGTTTAGGGTTAGTAGAATAATATCCCAGAAGCTGGTTCATTGGCCTTTGCATCATTGAAACATGGCCACCATTTATTGGAGTAGCAGCAGGTGTATTACATAGTAGCAAGGAAGATGAGTAAGAGTTGCTTGGTGCCACTGGCTTTACATGGTTCTGAACGAAGTAGATAATGTCATTATAGAGCTTCTTCATGTGCGCGAGTTCCGACATCAGCATGTTGTTGCTTCGCCTGAGTCTCTCGTTGTCCTCGGAAAGCGCGGTGACGGAAGAGCTGTAGTTGGCTGCACCGTTCACTAATGAGGTGGCTCCACGTGGCGGAGAGTCACACCAATTGGTTTGCTCATCGGAGTCGTTGGAGGGTGAGATGCTGACTCTGCTGGAGAAGGGAAAGAAAGTGGGAACGCTAACGTTGACTCCAAGTGGAGAATGTGAATGGTGGTGATGGTGATTCATGCTTCCTTGTTGAGGCTGAGCGGTTTTTCTCCTATGGATCTCGCACAGCAAGTGTTTCTCTCCCTTCTTGAAGAATTCGTTGGCGAACTCCCATCGGTCTGGTACAATCTTTCTGAAACCCTAGTTCATGCATTTAAAATCAACCGTGTTAATTGAAAGAACCACAAAAAGAGAAAGAAAAACAATTGAAGAAGGTAGATGGTGTGTGAATATAATACATAGGTATTTAGCTGGCGAACGAAGCTTGAGAAGTTGTTGTGTTTGAAGTAGTTGGGAAGAAGGTCCCTAGCGAACTCAGGAGGACGCCAAACGACGAAAGTGGTGTCGTCTTCACCCCATGAAACGATGTGATCTGTGGCGGGATCATCCACCAGTTGGTATGTTTTGGTGAGGAAAGGAGCTGGCACTGATTTGTGCGAGTCCAGAGAGAGTAGAATGCCTTCACAGTTGTCAAGAAGAAGAGCCATTGGAAGAGGAGAGAAAGAGAGGGTGCGTGTGTTTGGGAGAGAGAGAGAGAGTGGGAATGAGAATGGTGAGGGAAGGATAGATAAAAATGTTTAGAGAAGAGGAGAGAGAAAAGGGGTTGGGGGGTGGAAGAGTGGAAGAAGTAGTAGTAGTAGTAGTACTTGGCTTGTATGTAATGTAATGTAATGCGTTTTGCTGATACAAAATTTGTATTATTTTAACGTGATGTATTTAAGATGAATTAATTTGGGTGAAAGGATATTGTCTGGTAGGGAGCATTATATTTTTGTTACCATCATCGGTTGTGTTGTGAGAGAGAATATGTGTCTGTCTGTCTAGGACTGTGAAATAAGGGCCTTTCAAGGCAAACCCGTGACTCACTTTCTCTCTCTCTCCTTCTACGTGTGTGGGTGTGTGTGTGTTCGTGATACAGAGAGGCTTCTGAGTTCTGACATTGATCCCGCGCACACCCACTTAAAATCACGCACAAGAGGAAGAAGGTGCAGACCAATGCTATCTATCATCTTTTACAAATTGACCGTTCAACCCTTCCTCAACTCAATCAATCCTCTCTTCCTTTTTACTTTTATTCCATTCCCATTAGTGGTAATCAGTCAAACACTTCCTATGTTACAGCTTTTCCCTAGTCATTTATTTTTCTTTTCAAAAAGTTTAAATTTTTTTAGTTAATATATTGTTGTATTAATTAATTTCAACGTTGTTATATATAAATATATATGTGGTGGAATATTGGAATGATTATGTCATGAGGGGTATGGTATTGGATTTCGAATTCCAAAGGAAAAGGAATCTTGTAGAGAAGTACAATCTGATATTTGGAGAAACAATGTGGGTTTTGTTTTTGGGTATTGACATTACATTTTTCGTATCCAAATAAAATATTGGAATTGGAATCAAGCAAAAGATGTATCAGAAATGTGAAGAAGGTGGGTTTCACTTCACGTCAAACGAGTGTCCTCTTTTCACAATTTGTAGCTTTCCTTTTGTTGTTTAATGTCACCAGCCAAACACAGTCCCTAATTTCGAATCCCCATCAGTTATTGTTTTGTTCTTGAGTCGCACATCTCTAGCAGATATAAAAAGGCAAAGGATACATCGAAGTACGTGATGGGAATTAAAGACATTTCTTCCTTCCGTTGCTTCCATGATTTCTCTCTTTCTTTCGTATATTTTTCTTCTTCTCCTTCCTTTTTCCTTCGTTGAAAAAAACACAGCATATTTCAAACTTCAAAATCGTGTGCTAGAGACGTATGCTTCTGTGGCCACTAGTACCTTTTACTCGCTAGCATACAATAGGTAGCTATAGCTACCCGTGTTTAGCTTTCCTTTACTTTTACATTACATTACATTGAGCCTCCAACTTTGGCTCGCCTTCTTTTCCTCGTGTGTCCAGGTGATTCAATTGAATTATTGACCCCAAAAAGTTCCCATGAAACAATTATCCAAAATTTCACACCTTTTCCACCTCCCTTCTATTTCTTTATTTTATTATTATTATTATTATTATATATTTATAAACATGATATCATATATTTTCTTTCACTTTCACATAAATTTATCATGTATGCATATGCAAGTGTGGCCGTACATTAAACTTCCAAAATGAATGCAACTATAGTAGTACTATATAATAAGTAAAACACATGAAGGAGCTAATTAACAAATCATTCGGTCGATTCATGATTTCACGTCAACAATCATGCAACCAGTTTCTAATATTTCTTTGATTGTCTAGCTAATTATATTTTAGTTTTTACTACTTTTTTCTGGGTTGGGTAGGGTTGTGTTTGCATAGTAAGCTACAGGTTTCATAATTTGAAAGAAAAGAGGAGGTAAAAAAAGTTGCTTGAAAACCATAGTGTAATAAGTGGGTAGTGAGGATCCAAATAATTAAAATGAGAAGCGCATTCATTTTGTGATAATAAGTGAAAGTAGAGTTGTAGGGACGCAGAAGCAGATTGAGGGCCAAAGCAAAACAATGGGAAAATGATGACTAATTATTTCGGATAGATACCACAACTGATTATTTTGATAGTGTCTATGATTCTCATTATTGGAAAAACAAAGCTAAACTGTCCCTGTTCCCCACCCATGTAGTAATTATTTCTCACTTTCCAATTTTCTTTGCTTTCCTCATATAACAATCTGAATATAATTAAATAATAATATCCCAAAAGTTCCCCAATACCCCCATTCAAGCTTACCAGAGAAGCTTCAACTTTATCATCGGTGTACCCCCCAAACAGAACAAGTATTAAGAATACAAAGGAACCAAACATTATTATTGAAAAGGGTTTTAAACACAACGTATGTTATTCATTTTTCATTAGAGAATGTCTACTCTAGACTCTTAGTTTGTTGCATTCAGAATATAAAACTCGTCTCCCACATGATTCTAGAAAAAAACTATCATGATATTATCTAGTTTCTATTAACATTATTCCTTTTTCTAGAAATACTTAAACTATTATTATACATGGTATGCCATGATCACTAATAGTATATGATAATAAAACTATACATTATTAACATATTTCAAATTTAGTGGAATGCATTATGTATATTTTTAACGTTTGTACTATTTAAAGTTACACTATCGAAGATAATTTTTATATCAGTAAATGACATTGTTTTATACTGTGACAAATAAAAAACTATAAAATATTGGTGTAGTTAAATAAAACACAAAAAAGAAATCCTTGAAAACTAATGAAAAATAAAGATTTTGGTTATATACACATTTAATATTCAACAAATAAGGTAAAACTAGGAATACTCGCACATTATGATTTATATTGTTCTTGTCATTTTTATAGTTTGAGAAAGTAATTAGAAAATGTATTATGTGTATGGAGGATATTATGTTTTTTGTTTGTTCAATTAATAGAATAATACAACTAATTAGTACACTTTTTATGAGAGAGGCAAATAGAAAAAAATGTTAAATTAAAAATTTAATCATTTCAAGTGTTGGAATATTTATTTAAAATATATATTCTAAAAATTGTAAATTGGGTCCTGGAGTTTTATCCTTATAAAGTTACGGTTTATGGGATTTTAAAAAAAACTAATGACGTTCCTAATTTTGCAACCTAATTTTCTTATTTAGAAAAATTAAACTTGAAATAGAGCATAAAAATAGTTATTTATTAGATACAATCTTCTTCTTAGTTATGTGATATTGATATAGATTAAAACGTAAATTCCAAAATGGTATTTAGAATATATGAGATGCTATTAAGTCACCCACATGTATTAATCCCACAAATATTGGTTGTGAAATAAAATATTTAAAAAAAAATAAAGAACTCAAATCACACATTAATTACATAAAATCTAAATAATGTATAAGAAAAGTGAAAGGCAACTCTCATTGGAAAAAATTACATATTTTATATATCTTGTTTATGCAACATACTTACATTTCCCACACATTTAAAAACAATGATACAAGTAAAATGATAAAGTTCAACTAATTATATTAATTTTTTAAAATATTATCTGTTATTTTATAATCAATTATTTTTAATTAGTATCTGATTTAAAAAATTTAAAATATTCGTAAAAAGAAACATTATTCCTTCACTTCATAATTAACAGTTTACTAACTGCAGTAAAGTTGTAGCTTTATCAACTGTTAAACAATATATATATATATATATATATATATATATATATATATATATATATAATTTAACTAAATTTGAATAGCGTAAAAGGTTGACATAGGTCATAAAATTATTAGTCAAGAACTAATAATATACAAATATTAGACAAGAAAAAAATGAATATTAAAAAAGTGAGGATGTAGTTAAAAATAGTGACTTTTTTTGGTGAAATTAAGTGCAGAAGAGAAGAGAGAGGTTGATATAGGGTGATTAGAGATTTGTGTGGTTTTATTAAGGTGGTGTACGTAAATAAAAGTGAGATGAGTGTAAAGAAACATGAGAACAGGGAAAAATGAAGCATGAGCTAGCAATGCCGGCAGCTTCAAGTCCCAATAATGAAACAAGAATGGGGAATGGATGATGCGTTCTAGTTCTTCCCCTACTCTATTATTGTATTGTAGTCTAGCATATGATAGCATTGATGGAGAGAGAAAGAGAGAAATGTAAAAAATTTAAGAAGAAGAAGAAGAAGAAGAAGAGGGGGGAGGAGGTAGCTATGTATGGAGGAAGAGGAAAGGACCAAAGTGATAACTATCTGGCAAGTTTCTAAACAATCATGCCCTTGTTTCTATTTCTTTTTGCTTCTTCTTCTGCACCTCTTCTGCTTCTTCTAACCTTTTCTTAATTCCCAATTCCCAGTTCACACCCCCTGACTCTTTCGCTGTACTCTACTGCACCATTGCAGCAGAAGCAGCAGCGGCTGACATGGAGACAGTAGTAGTAGTCCTTTTTATTTTTTATGCATCTGTGAGTATTACTAGTCTCGTGATTCTTCTTTTGTTTTTTTCCCTTCATAACATATATTTATTACCACCACCTTATTCCCTTGTTCATGTTACGTGCTTATTTATGGGAATTGTCCACACCTCTTTTTATATAAATTTTTCATCACACTAAGCTACCCTCAACCATTCTCTTCTTCTCTTTCTCCTCCAACTAGCTAGCTGTACAATTATCAATTTTAACGTGATCACATCCCCCTTTTTCTGTCCTTTTCCCTAGTTTGATTGTGTTTCCAATTAAGCCGAGTCTCTTCTTTCAAAACAGGAGCGGGTGAATATTAAAGAATTTCATCAACATGGAAACTTTTTCTATGTCCTCCCTCCCATGTTTTCACACTCCATAATATTATCTACCCAGATTCAGTTCAAACTTGTTGTTCCAGAATTATGCCCGGTTCATTGCCTTGACCACAACAGCATATTATTTGACCTAATTAGGTGTTTATAAATGGAAGATAAAAACTAGGCTGGTCCATCAATGTGGGCCCCTCAAATTTTCTTTCAGGGGTATTTTGGTAAGAGAGCTGAAGTGTGATATGATCCAATCCAACCAACGTCTCATTATATTTTATATTACATGATATGATATGATACGATAAAGAGTTCTTGGACTGTAGCTGTTAAATTGAAATGGAAGAGTCCTTGCATTTCTTTTTGGCAGTGTGATTAGGATGTTTATGCATGATTAGGGTTTTAACAAAAGATAAGGAAGGGATACATGGGTGGTTTTTTGAAAGAAAGAGAGAAAATGGTGGGGGCCCAGAGAGCAAGGAAATCTAGAAAAGAAAGGCTGATTTTCCCTCACAAGTTGTCAGCAACTGAGACAGATCCTAGTGAGCCCACCAGGAGCAAAATCACTCCCAAAATTCACCCAACAAACAAATGAAACTCACACCCCTCACTCCCTTCACCAACTTCACGTTCACTCACTCACTCACTCACTCACTCACGTTCAAGAGCCAAGAAGATTCTATTCTAATTTCTAAAACGCAGTGAAAGTGAACCAACCCCACCTCCAATCACATGACCACCGCCGGTACCTCTCAATAAAATCATTTTTCTTATTATTGGACAAAACACCAATGGGAATTTCAAGGAGAGACAACTTCAAAACACACACCCAATACGGATAAACCATTTTCTTTATCAATCCGACCAACCAATTCATATTTTAATTCCCCACAGTACCAACCTTCATTTATAAATTATATATACGTCTATTCTAGCCTTAAGCTACCAACATCCTATGTTAATAACGAATATTTGTATTTAATCATTTTAAAAGAAAAAACCATAAAGAAAATCTCTACACGACAAACCCACTGAGGTTCTTTCTTTCTTCTTCTGTCTGTTTCCTCACTCTTTTTTCTGTTTCACTGACGCCCTCTTCAATTTCCATAAAACACACTTTTTTATGTTGATTAAATTACATCAGACAGATACGTACAAGCTTGTTACATTTAGAAAAAGAAAAAAATGAGGTTAAGATTGGATTAATAACAAAAGATGTGGGTAGTTTATACGAGGTTTGAAGTTAAAACTTGTATTGTTGCCTGAAATAAAAAGGAAAGAGGAACTGATTACTGTGTACAGAGTTATACAGAGAGATGAAAGGGAAGGTGGGTCAAATAAGTTGAATTGAAACATTTTTATTTTTATTTTTTGCGTAGAGTATTACTTAATTGGAGGGTCACGAGGGGCTACGAGGCTAGACATATGAATCCCACGAGGAAATGACACTGATAATAATGTAGAGGACAAGATGGGCGTTTGGTTTTACAGTGTCATTTAAATTTATATAGAAACATTCGTGTACCTCAGCCCCAGGTTCTTTTTGCTCTGTTTGTGTATGGATCATTCACGTATCCCTCCTACATCACACTCGTGCATAAATTTCCTGAATAATCGAGACGTTGCGTTTTCTTTGTTTGCTGGGTCATTCTATTTTGTTCTCCTCATCATTATCTCCTGTTCTTCAACAACAGAATTTTGTTAAGGATAAAATTAAAAATTCTTTCACATTTTTTTAAATCATACAAATACTACTTCATTCTTCATTATCTGTGTGTTGTGATCAACGTTGTTTTATCTCAGATTACCGAAGGATTTAAAGACCAATAAATTTATGTCCTAACAAGACATATACTAGAAAAATATAAAAACATTAAAAAATTGTATTTCTATCAATTATTTAAAATTGGTTATATTTTCGTGTTAAATCAGAAAAACAGGTAATTTGTTAACACTTCTTCCTTAACTCACGGGTCTTTTATTTATTTTTTTTATAAATGCTGAAATTATGAAAAATCATATTTTGACATTTATTTCAAATTAAACATTCATCCAATAACTCAGTTATACATATAGCAATGCTCCAAAATTATTAGTAGCACAATCAGTAATTGGGCATTTTCTATTAACAAAGCAAAAACGAAACATAAGTTTTAGAGAGCTGTTAATATGGAACATGTTCAAACTTTATTAAATAAAACAGTAAAATAAGAATTACGTGCTTTGCAATATACAACTGTGGAGTGCAAAACCTATTCCTAAAATCCAAGTCCAGAACCGAATGAAAGAGCAAATCTGATAAAGTTTGATAAAAGGAATAACCACCCTCCAGTTATATATGCAATTAATAATGCTGATATTATATTTGTTACTTAAATGTTATTTGAATTTTAGTTGTAAGGGTCTTGCTTAGTTTGAATCTTGATTAACAAAACTACATTAAAAACATATCATTATAATTAAATTAACTGAGGTCTCTGAGGTATATGTAGCAAATAATTTTATATAAAAGACAAGTGCTGAGTAATTAAACAATGCGTACTAAACAAGTCCAGAAAAACTGAATCTGACAACAGAGATGTTTAGATATATGAAAATAACATGTAACATACATATGCAAAACTACTATTCAGAATTGATCAAAGGAAAAAGTAACATAAAAGCGGTAAATAGAAGAATATAAAGAGTATGTAGATGGGGGAAATGGGTTTGCATGCAAAAGTTAAATTGTCCCGGAAAAGACGTTGTAAAGCATCTTCCTGGAAGAATATTAATATCTCTATGATCAAAATATTATACATGCATGGCATATTGATACTTCTTATCAACAAAAGAAAGTTCATTTTAACATACTTTAGAGTTACATTAAAAGGAGAGAACAACAAGAGAGGTCTTTCTTCCTCTGCTTTTCAAAACTTTCTTTTTTTTTTCCCCCTCCTTTCCCCCCCTTTTTCTTTCCCTTTAATTTTTTCTTTTTTCCTTTATTTCTTAAAGCCATCCATACGACTTCTACGTGAAGAAAAAGAAAGATCCTTCTATTTATGCGAAATCGTGAGATACTTTGCCTCGTACCGAAGAATAAGAATAGAACGGGGTAGTATATTCATATTCTAGTTCTACCACCTAACTGATCAAACGCCAAACACCAAACACCATCTATCTTTTAGTAGTTTAATTAATTAAAAGAAAAGCAAAGAGAAGTATCGTATAATGATCCACTTGATGGGATGTTGGGCCTAAGAAAGGTCGCAATTTGAAACAAACTTTAAATTTGATGGATGATGAAGCACATATTAGCATGCATGCATGCATGCATGCATGGCCGACCTCGCATGGCTAGTAGTGGGACCCAAAATGTGTTTTCAGTACAATTAGCATTAAAATGTGGATGCTTGACCTAAACATGATTAACCAAAAAGCCCGAATCACCGAATGTAAAAAAGACAGAGATGGAAGCAATGGATGGTGGTTTGATTTGGTTTAGAAATAGAGTGAAGTATAGAAGAAGGAAGATATAATAGATGGATAGATAGATTTGTAGGTAGAGGTGGGAGGTAACGGGGAACATAAAGTCTGTTGGATCACATGCATATCACATTCTTTTCTCCTTCTTCTTCTCCTTCTCTTCTTTTCATACTGTGGCTGATTAATCGTTTAAAGAGAAAAAAACAAAAATAAAGGTGATTACTAAGCAACAAAAAACTAAAAGAAAAAAACAAGTAAAAAGGGGATGGTTAATTCCACATCCACATTCCATATTCCACAGTTTGAAGGCTGCTTCTGCTATACCCTCCTCAATCCAAGGGATTCCATGACATGATGAAACTCCTTCCTTCTGCTTCTGGGTCCCCCACGTCATCATTTCATGCATATAGTTGAAAGACCCACCTCTCTCACGTCCATAACTTTGCAAAGCATTTCCTTAAAGTGGCATTTTTTTCTGATGCCAGCCAATAATGCATGACTGCATGTTTATCAAAATGGCAACCCCCTCACCACCTCACTCACCGCCACTCTCATTATCATCTTGACATCGACTTTCAGTAAACAACCTAAATTAACTGAATCACAAATCCATCGCCTTCTATAATTATGTTGTCACCGGAAAATCATTTGATTTGTTTGATAGATTCGAACTGTCCAGTTTTCTTGCTTCAATCTTTACTTCTTTTTTGTTCCTTAAAATAAAATATGTACTGTATACGCATACGTAAACATATATCTATGTCTATAATGCTACAGATACAGTTTGCCTTGCCACCTAATTTTCCACTAAGCCAAAACCCTTTTGGCTGAGTCAATCATGTCTGAGATAAAGTTCTTTTCACTAAGTGATCTGATAGTGATACGGGTCTCGTTCGATAAACCAGAGAACTAATTTGACGTTTTGCCTCAACTGCTATTTCCCCTAAATTTCCATCTCGTCGTTTATAATCAGGTTAAATATATAGTAAGTTACTCAGTCTAATCCAGTTCGAATCAATTAATTAACGACAGGTGGTTTCTTCTTACATTTACTTTAATTTTGATTCTGTTGTCTGTGTGGACATACCATCTAATCAGTAATGAAACCCTAATTAATCTTCTGGAGTGACTTAATCTTTTGTAATAAACAATTTCTATGTATATGAACACGAATGAAACCCTAATTAATACATTTGAAAGACCTAACTATCTATCAATTAGGCACACTTTGTTGTTATATTTAAAGATTATGCATTGCAGTATCTTTTTATGGGTTGTATTAATTAATTTAGTGACTCAAGGACCTTTTTTACACTTCATAGACACTGCTTTTATTTTAATCAAAGCCTCCATTTCAAGATTTAATATTCAGCAACTTAATGGATATACGGATCGAAATCTTTATGTTCTCAACATATGTTTCGCGCTATTATTTATCAAAGGATGATTTTTATTTTCTGCTTTGAATGACCATGTGTTTTTGTTGGTTAATTTTGAATTCCAATATTTTCATGCAAATTCTTTTAGAGATATAGCAACGCAACTTATTTAATCACTTGGTTGATTAGGAAAAAGACATTGTCCTTTACTACAGATTAAAAACCCTAATGTCGCTCCCACAACCCTATTCCTCTAGTTATCCAAGCTGTACACCAAGAAAAGGAAAAGAAAAAAGTAATCCAAACTGTATTATTACTGATCTGGACCGACATTTACCTAGGCTAGCTTTCACCACTTCGCCGCCGTGAAAGTTGGTCGGAGAACGAAGCTTCTCTTCATTTGGCTTTGTCTGCTTCTTCTACCACAAGGTGTTCTGTGCCTTATGTGCATAGTAATTATCTAACAGTATTTTTGCACAATCACTCATATATAAGATAACCTTTATATACCTTAAGTTTGCAATTTAATCTTCCATTCTCTCCAATTTACTCCATTATTTGAGTATGGAAGTCCTTACATATGGCGACCATGGAGTTCCTTCTTCTGTCTTTTGTGTTCATGCCATAATTCATCCCTTGCAGTCTCTTTAGAATTGCCTCTGTCGTATAAGTATCTATCCTAAGATGCCATGAGTTTTAATTTCATTTCCTGAAGCAAGGTATCATCTTCCTAGTTTTTATTGACCAGTGA